AATCTTGGGCTGATTTGTCGTGTGGTCTGTAATTCTGTGTTGATCTCCCAACTACAGGCTGGCGCAGTTGTTGGCTCCGTCTCGACACAGAGAGGAAACAAATCTGGGCTGAAATTTGATTGATATTGGGCCAATTGCTTTTATTTATTTCAGCCACTATGGGGCCGGTCACTTGGGCTTCCTTAAATCCTATTGACGTTTGTCCTATTGCGTAGTTTTAATTTTGTTTTATTGTTGGGTTATTTATGTTGGTTGGTAGGCTCCTTTAATTTCTAGTCTGTTAATGTTGGTTTAACCAGTATTGGTTTTATTGTTGGGCTACTTGGCTTGTAGTCCTTCAATTACGGTTAGGAGTCTACATGGATAGTATCATGTCATTCAAGATAGAGATGTTCAATTTGACGGAACCAATGACACCTGAAAAATTGAATGAAAAAAATTACACTTATTAAGCTAGATGTGTTGATGTATTTTTGCGGGGAAAAGGTTTATTTAATCACCTGACTTTAGACAAGCCATCTACCAAGTCATCTGACAGTGAGTCTACAAAGGCTGGTTCTACCCTCAACGATCGATGGGATCAAGAGGATAACGCAATTATTGGACTTATGATCAATAGTATTGAGTCTCATATCGGATCTTCATGTCTCTATATGTCTACGGCTAAGTAAATTTAGGAGTATCTCAAACATTTACATTCTGAAACTGAAAATGTTACTCGGATCTATGAGACGTGTAAATAATACTTTAAGCTTGAGAAGGGCCACTCCAGCCTCCTTGAATATTATGATAGGCTTTTAGCTATGTATCAGGAAAGAAATATGCACCCTCTTTCCCTTGATTTGAAGTTTATGGAAAAATGGCATGAAGATATTGATGTTGTTAAATTTCTTACTGGTCTTCCACCAAAGTTTGAAGCAATCCGGGCACAAATATAGGGCGAAAAAAAGCTTCCCAATCTTGTAGAGACATGTTCTCGTATTCAATGCTCTACTCTATCACATAGTACACGCAACGAAGATCATTCTACTTTTATTGCTCGTGGTGGCTCATTCAGAGTTGGACGTAGTGGTCGTGGAGGACGTGGTTTTACACCTCAAGGTGGATGAGACATTAGAGGCATTGGTCGTTCGGAAAATCATGAACCTCAAGAATATACAGCGGTCGGATAGGTCACTTTGTTAATTATTGTTGGGACTTACACGGCAAACCATCTAGTTTTGTTAATCAAGCCTCGTCTAATGAGGGCGCCATCGCCCAATATTTGGACCAGTGGCTAACTCCAATTCATCACCAGAATCTGATTTTAAATCTATACCACGGGATGCATATGTTGAGTTCTTAACTTGTAAACAGGTCACTTCCACTTCTACGACCTCTCGCCCAGTCAAGTATTGCATCTTCTCATTGTCTATTGTCATCCTCTCAAAATTCGTGGATTATCGATTCCAAAGCAACAAAAAGTATGACTGGCTCGTCTACTTCTTGATTATCATTCGTTACTTCTTCCACGTCACTCTTACTAGCGGTTCTCAAACTAGTGTTGTAAGCGTGGACAATGTCCTTAGTCCTAATATTGATTTGTCAACTGTTCTTTATGTTCCTGACTTTCCCTTTAGCTTATTGGCTATTAGTAGAATTACCACAATTCTCCAATGTTCTGTAACATTTTATTCTTCCTTATGTCTTTTTTGATCTCAAGAAGAGGAGGATAATTGGTATGGGGCATAAAGTTGTTAGCTTATATTACCTGAATCTTTCACCAGTCCCTCATCATCGAGCTCTTCAGTCCTCTTTCACCCATGCAGTGACATTGTTGTCTCGGTCACCCTTCTCTTTCCACTTTAAAACATCAAGTTGTGAGTCTTTGTGATGTGTCCTCCCTTGACTGTGAAACGTGTCAACTTAGTAAACATCATCGTGTGTCTTTTTCCTTTAAGATCTGTTAGTCATGTTTCTAGTTAATTTGAGATAGTTCATTCCAATATATGGGGACCAATTAATATTTCCTCTAATCAATTCGAACATTTTCACTTCTGTGGATGATTATTCTTATATGGCTTAGTTGTTCTTGATGAAAAATCAATCTGAGTTGCTTTCTATCTTTCAAGTCTTTCACACTTTGATCAAAACTCAATTTAACCAGAAAATATGTATTTTGCAGTCCAATAATACCAAAGAATATATGATTGCTTCTTTCGCAACATCTCTCTTTTCCAAAGGCATTTTTCATCTAACATCTTTAGCTTATACTCCACAACAAAATGGAGTTACAGAGCGCAAAAATCGTCATTAGTTAGAAGTTACTCGTACTCTTCTTTGTCATTTGCATGTTCATAAACGCTTTGGAGTGATGCTATCTTTATTGCATGCTATCTCATTATGCAAGCCATCCTCTCTTTCGAACGATGCATCTCCCTTCTCTTTTTTGTTTTCCTCCTCTCCATAGTACTCGTTCCCTCTCAAAGTTTTTGGGTGTGTTTATTATGTTTATCACTATGGTCCTAGTCATGACAAACTTGACTCACGCTCTATGGAATGCATTTTCCTTGGTTACCCTCAAACACAAAAAAGGTATCTGTGCTACAATCCTTCTCTACAACGCTACTTTGTAAATGTCGATGTCATTTTTGACGAGTCCACACCCTATTTCTCTACTCCTAATACATCTCCCGAATCCCCTCGAGATCCCATTCGTTTACACATCCCATATCTATCGATTAGTATTTCTCTAGAACCAGATTTGTCTCCATCTACTGCACCGGAGTTGTCCTCCACTCATACGGAATCGCCTCTTCCTTTACAAGTTTATACTCGATGGCCTAAGCCATCGACACTTGTGTCTCCATCCATCACCTCGCCATCTGCAGATCCTAAATCCATCATTTATTCTGATCCTGAGTCATTGCCCATTGCTCTTCGTAAAGGTAAACGTACTTGTGTAACTGAACATCAGCTACAATGTCATTTTTTATTCGTTGTCACCTTCGTTTATCTGATCGTGAGTGGTAAAAGGCTATGGAATTAAAAATGGCTGCTTTGCATAAAAATAAGACTTGAAAACTCGTTCCTTCACCACTTGGAATACATCATGTTGGTAACAAATGGGTCTATGTTCCGAAATTCAATCCTGATGTGACTGTTAATCGATTGAAAGCTCAACTGGTTGCTAAAGGTCACACAAACCTATGTTATTAATTATGATGAAACATTCTCTTCAGTTGCTAAGATCTCTTCTATTAGCATTTTGATTTCTATTGCTGCTAACTTTGGTTGGCTACTGTTTCGATTGAATATCTAAAATGCCTTCATGGGGACTTGAATGAAGAGGTTTATATAGAGCGACCACCTAGATTAGTTGCTCAGAGGGAGTACCAGAATAATGTTTGTAAATTGAAAAAGCCTTTATATGGATTAAAGCAATCTCCAACTTAGGGTAATTTTCAGAGGTTCTGAAATTTGACATTCAGAGGTATCAAACAGATCATTTAGTGTTTCATCTACAAACTGGTTCAGGCTATGTGATTTCTGTAGTTTATGTAGATAATATTGTAATCACTAGTGATGATGAAGAGGGGATTGCTCGGTCGAAACAGTTTCTACAAAAACATTTCTAGACAAAAGATCTAAGCAAGCTTTGATATTTCTTGGGTATTGAGGTTGCTAGGTCTTGGGCAGATATCATTTTATTTCAGAGAAAATATGTACTTGACCTATTAAATGAGATAAGGTTTTCTTGGTGCTTGTCCAGTTGATACTTTCATGGATCCTAATATGAAGCTTCTGAAGGATAGAGGAAAACCATTTGAAGAACCAGGAGAATATCATCGTATGGTTGGAAAATTGAATTATCTAACCATTACACGATCAAATATTTCTTATGCAGTTAGCGTCATTAATCAACTCTTGGATGCTCCTAAGGTGTCTCATTGGGTAGTTGTGATACGTATTATTCAGTATTTAAAAGGCTCCTGGTCTTAGATTATTGTATAAATCAAACGAATATATCAGAGTAGAAGGGTTTAAAATTGCAGATTGGGCAGGATTGCCATCAGATAAACGATCCAAAACTAGTTTTTGTACTTTTTTCGATGGTAATCTTATCTCTCGAAAAAGTAAGAGACAATTTGTAGTAGCAAGGTCGAGTGCAAAAGCAAAAGATAGGGCAATGGCTCATGCTACTAGTGAGTTGAGTTGGTTGCAGCACTTCCTTCAAGAAATCAATCTCTCACCTCCTACTCCTATTCTGATGTTATGTGATAACAAAACTGCTCTTCATATTGCATCCAATCCAATATTTCATGAAAGAACCAAATACATTAAAATTGATTGTCACTTTGTTTTAGACAAGATAATGAGTAGTGATATAGGTACACAATTTGTGAAAACAGGAGATCAACTTGCTGATATGTTTACAAAATCGTTGAATGGTAATCGATTGAGGTTTCTTAGTTTTAAGCTGGGCTATATGATATATATGCTTCAACTTGAGGTAGAGTGTTAAGGAAATAAATAAGTCAAAATAACGTAAATTAGGCAAGAGGCTATTAGGTTAATTTCATTTTCATATTTGTACCGTGTCTTTCTATGTACGTACTTTTATTATCTCTATATAACAGAAGTAAACAAGAGAGAATAATAATCTTCTCTCCAAAGTTTTTCACCAAACTGTTTATCAACAACTTCCACTATATTGCTACTAGAATATATACTCACACTAGAGTTTTTTAATTTATTATTATACCAAGAGTCAAATCTTTTTCTTTTTTTTTAAATTTATTAAACCTTATTCTCATTTGTGACATCATATGATTGTATGATGTATGTACCAGATAAGACCCAATTATACTTAAAGATGCATAAAAACAAAAGATTATGCAACTTTAATAATAAAAAAATACAAAAAATGTATTTTTTTATTGGAAGGTACGACAACTAGAAAATAGTGCATGTGAGGAAATACAAAGCGCGAGAAGAACCTAACTAGAGAAACAGCTTACCTGATTATCAACATTAGTGTAAAGGGGCGAATTCTGGTCAAAGATGACAAATTGAGCTTTGACAAAACTGTCTAGGGTATCAGTAACTTCCATGCCACCAGCTTCAGTGTGAGTAACATCAGAAGGCAGTAGACCAGCAATGCGAGTAAAACTTGGGGCTTTCAAGGCTGAGCTACCTAATTGCGAAATATTTTGAGAACTTGCATACTCCACTGCATCAGCTGGTGACATGGGACTATCCACTGAATCATTTAGATTCTCCGATGCCTCATAGAACTCATCATCTCCTTCACACTGATTTGAGTCATTGCTGGTGTGTGTTGGAATCTCAGTATCACCCAAAAGGGAAGACGTGTCTGCATTCTTATTGAATGCTCTCGCCAGGAAACAGACTTGAGACGTCCCCTTGCAGCAAACTAAGTCTTCAACCTCCAAGGCTTTAAGAACTGTACCAATGAACATATTGTTTGATCTAATCGAGAGTTCAACCTGCATAAAGATTAAACCTGAATCCTACGACAAGTGGCTATCAATGCCCGAGATAGAAATAATAGAGACTTCAATATCAATCTTACCCGCCCACCAATTGCTCGAAATTCAAATAAGCGCTTCTCCTCCGCAAGAAGCAGCTTCGTAAAGTTCTGATCATTCTGCATAAATATATGCACAAAGAATTAATATTCAACATTTTTGTTAGTATTTCCAAACAACCGTAGCTTCAGAGAAAACTAACCATGCTTACCTGGCTACTATAATTGAAATGTATCTTGAGCTCATCAAGTACCCCTGTCAAAAACAAAGTCTCCGTCTTTGACGAGTCCATTAAATCATGGTTGTCAATTTCAGAATCATCTGAATCTGACGAGGTTTCAGTTAGACCAATGATGGGAGTAGGCACCTGCACAATACGAAACAATTGTCATTGGCAAGTTACAAAAAAACAATACGAGTCCACAATGAACATTTTTTTGGTGAAAGTAAGTTCTTTGGCAACGCACTGGATAACATCATATCAGCACATAAGTTCATCCCTACAGGTCAAATTTGCAAAGAAGCAGTCATCAACCTTCAAAAGAACACTGAAGAGTCCTATGTACAATACAAGGTGAACCAAACAGTTCGTTCAATCATCTTCGCAGATGCTAAAAGCAAAACTAGCAGAGTGTTCTTTGAAATTTCTCAATTATATTATCAGCAAACGACAATCAGATAATTTGTTGCTTTGTATCACACCAACTGTTTCTAGTCATAATTTATGGATTAAAAGCCTGTGATGTTAACAAACAGTTATCAGTTTGAGTGCATTACTATCTCAGCTTTGACTATTTAAAGAATACTCGTACATTAATAGCAACAAGGAGTTAAATCTATTCCTGGTAAACTGGGGGCCAGATAGATATTTGAACGAGTGGATTACAAAAATTTATGGACCCAGTTTATCCTCCATGTTTGAAAATATAAATCCACATATGATCCTTCTGCTGAAAGAATCATTGAACGTTTCACACTTTCACTCCAAAAGCCCAATGGTTCACCATTGGAAGCCAGTTACGAAATGTTTCAAACTTCACTCAAAAAGGCAAAAGGTTCATCATCGAATGCCAGTTATGAAATTCTATCACTGACACAGAGAGAGAGAATAAAATAACTATTCAATACGATTTTTGGAAGTCTTGGCATGGGCACTTAGATGCCACAGCCTTTTAAGAGGAGATATTATATATTGGAGCCATTTCGGAGTTGGCAAAAAGTTGACAATATATAGACATACTGATGCACGATAAATGGCTCCCTGAAGGTATCTTTGCCAAATCTTCCTTTCATTTTCAGAGTCACAACGTAAAATGAGAGCATTTGCATCTTCCACAACCTACATAGGAGGATACTCATATCAAAACAAAAGAATCTGTAATACACAGATATGAGAACTTCAAATAATTACTAGAATTAAAGTAACTTCAGGTGACGCTTCCAAGACTACCTTAAAATTGGAGCGTTCAGCATCGGAAACAGCCAATACATGTTCCACGTTGTCAATAGTGCCAGCACGAACTTGATATAGCTGTTTCCCTCGTAGGCTGGAACAACCAAAATTGCAAACTACTTTTTTGAAAGGAAAATTGCAGGACTATTTAAACAACGCAAAATTTGTACTTACTGATACTAGCATACATAAAAAAATAAAAAGAATGAATAGGAAGTGATTTCTAGTAGCTTATATATCTTGCGGTGTGATATAATAACTCAGGCACTTCAAGGATAGAGGAGTCCTGACAGTGACTGGGGCAGGGGCCAAAATATGCAACTTCCAATGTAAAAATAAAAATATCTTTGGCCCATACTAGTTCGTGAACACTACAATAGAACTGATTTTCTCATGTCTATATGCATAAGCTTTCTCTACGACATTCAACTTCCTTCTCTTATTTAGTCTCTAAAATGATTTCACTCTATCCTCTTCATGTTTTTGTAGGAAATCAAGAATATGGTAAGAAAGAGGGGATATGAAAAGATACTTAAATCTTTCCTTAATGAAGGAAATTGATAGGCTAAAAGGGTGTTTGAGCCCCATTTTTATGAAAAAAAATCATTTTAGATTGATAGAAAATGTGTAGTTAAAAAATAAGGAAATTTTTTTGATTTACGTGTAATATTATTTTAATAAATAATGTGTAGTTGAAAAGAAAAGATAGAAAAATGTATTTTGGAAAGAATGAAAATCAAACAAGGCCTAATATTATTCTCCCAAATCAGGAGATTGTTCTCTTTTTTTTTTTTTTTTTTTTTGATGATTCAAAGGTTCGAGCTTCCCCCGACTAATCCTGAGGAGTAACGGCCTTCCCCCCTGGTTCGTCACCCAGGTAACTAATATCAGTCTTGCACATTCCAAATGTCTTGTAATTTGTTGTCTTTTAGCAAAACTAAACAAAGACTCCACTTGCTCCGCTAAATTTCTTCCGTCTCATTGTGTATTTCAAGACCTTTCATTGGGGTAGACGATTGGCAGTGCTAAAAAGTGTGAGGGGCTGTACTAATTTAATGAAGCTGATGAGAGTAAACAACGTTAAATTGCGATTTGTGATTCTACATCTGTTTATAGGGATAGTGAAATTCTATTATGACATTTTAGACTAGGCCACCATAATTTTCATTACTTACGACTTGTAATCACTTCAACCTTTGTAAATAAAACGTCTGCTGATTTTCTGTGTGAAAACTTTGAACTTGCAAAACATCTGCATACCTCTGATCCAAAATTCCATATACAAATCATTGAAGCTATTCACTTTGATTCAGTGACTTATGGAGACCTTCCCGAATCCCTAATTGCGCACACACTAAATGGTTTATCACATTTGTTGGGCCTATTTACTAAAGGAAAAATCGGATGTCTATTCCGTATTTATCAATTTTCATTCTATGATTTAAACACAATCTGATGTCTCTGAAAGTGTTTGGTTGCACGGCATTTGCTCATGTTCACTATCACCATCAAACCATACTCTCCTACTTAAAAGGGCTATAAAAATGTTGTGATCCATAAACAAAAAAGTAATTGTTAGCCTCAATGTCACCTTCTTTAAAAATACACGATATTTCAAAAAACCCTCTTTACTTATTTAAAAAAAAAAAAAAAAAAAAAAAAAAAAGACCCTCTCTTCAAAGAGGAGAATTTGAGAAAAGATCGGTTCTTTAACAAATTCTCCGACTTTGACCTTCCCCGAACTAACAAATACTGAATCTGTCACGTCTAATATGTCGTGTAAGGAAAGAAACTTGAAATCAGGGGGAAATGCAAATAAACAAAGCAATAAACAGACACTTGTTTACTCAAGAAGGCAAAATCAAAGTACAAAGAATACCTCGCACCTGAGGCATCAAAAGAGTCAAAACCGATGAAGGGGCCTAATGAAACTCTGACAAAACCGGATCTCAAAGTGATAATCCGTTCATGTAGTTTTCACCCTATCTCAAAACTCATTTCTTATCAAGCTCTATCACCAACTTTTCGTACTTTTACTGTTAATCTTGACAATAAATAAATCTCAAAGAACATCCAAGAAGCCTTGAAAATTCCCAAATGGAAAGAAGCAGTGATAGATAAAATGCGGGCTCTAGAAAAAACGAAACTTGGAATCTGGTTAAGTCACCAAACGAAAAAATACATGTTGGCTGAAGTGGTATTTAATGTGAAGTACAAAGCTGATGGGACAATGGTGAATGGAGCAATATAAAGCCCAACTTGTTGCCAAAGCATATACGACGACCTATGGTATAGACTACATGGAGACGTTCGCACCAGTGGCAAAATTGAATACAATTCGAGTTATTCTATCTCTAGCTGCAAATTTGAATTGACCCATCCAACAACTGGATCTTAAGAATGCCTTATTGAACAAAAAATTAGAAGAAGTCTTCATAACAGTGCCACCGGATTTCTATAAAGGAATGAAAAAGATTGGATATGCAAACTCAAGAAATCACTATATGGTCTTTAGCGGTCCCCAAGAGCCTAGTTCAATAGATTTGCAAAAGTGTTAAGAAATCAAGGATATCAGTAAGGACAATCAAATCATACTATATTCTTTCAATTATTTGGAGAAGGGAAAATAACAATTCTAATCATATATGTGGACAACATAATTCTCACTAGAGACTATAACTCTGATAAACAGTCTAAAGAAAAGCTTAGCCTCTAAATTTGAAGTAAAAGATTTGGGACCAATGCGATACTTGTTGGGTATAGAGGTTGTAAGATCAAATTTCAAAAGAGGGTATCAGGGGATATGTGAAGTAGCGCCGAAGGAGAATTCAGAGCAAATACACGAGGGATATGTGAAGGAATATGATTAAAAAAACTTTTGAAGGAATTAAAAATTGAAGTGAGATTGCCTACGAAACTCTATTGTGATAACAAAACAGTCATTAGCATTACTCAACCCTATTCAACATGATCGCACAAAGCATGTAGAAATTGATACAGACTTCATGAGAAGATGGAGTTATCTACATGGTATATGTACCTACAAAGCAGCAAACTGCATATACCTTTACCAAATGACTGCTTCAAAAAAACTTTTAACGACCGTATCTATAAGTTGGATCTAATTAATATCTACAATCCAACTTGAGCCGGAGTGTAGGAAACCTAGAATATGGTAGGAAAGAGGGAATATGGAAAGATACCTAAATCTTTCCTCAATGAAGGAAATTGATAGGCTAATATTAATCTCGCAAATTAGGAGATTGTTTTCCTTTCTTATTTGTATTATTGTAGTATAAAAGATGTAAAGTGGTGTATATCATTCATTGGAGAAAATAAGGAAACGTGAATTCTGGCTTCAGTTTTTAGTTTCATCTCTGTGTCGCTAAACACCATAAAAAGAAAGCTTCAATTATTGTGATATCTTATGTAAGAGTAAGAAAAGGCTACACATCAGTGCTAGAATCACGTGCACTTCAGCTAATGTTTTTCCATTTTTATCTTTTCTTACCCCCACTCTCTACTCCTACACCTTCTCTTTCTCTCAATTGGCGTCTTCCTTCTCCAATGTCCAGGTGCTTTTATGTCTTCTGGCTCATCATCCTTGAGTAAGATTGTGTGAGCACATTTTCCAGATGGGATGTTCAAGAAAGATGAATTATAACTTGCTACTGTTAAAGAATGCTCAATGATTTCCCATTTTTTTCTCTAGATAAGTACGCAAATCAATTATAAACAATTGCAAATGGTAATGTCCAAACCTGAAACGATGCTTATAATATCTAGAACCAGGGTTTTCTAGCAGGTACAGAAAAGGTCCAACTATGCAGAAATATCTTTTTTGCCATACAGCTTCTCTACCTCCAACACCCTACACAACAAAATGAAAGAAGAATTGGCTCTGGAATCATATTAAATTATTACCAAAATTTTGGAGATATTATAGAGAATAGAAATAAGTGACCTTCCATGTAAGATGATACAACCACCCTTCAAAATCAGCTTGATCCCAAGGACACACAAGGTCAGCCTGATAGCCCTCCTTGCCTTGAAAAAGCTTTGCTACTTGCATTAACCGATGATAACGAGCAGGAGAAAAATGTACACCCACAGAGGGTAGCCTCAAAGCCAGCCTTGTTGAAGGAAAGGAGGCAACTTGTGATCGAATCTGAAAAGCCAAATTGGACGCCTCATATCCTAAGCTAGTCCATCTAGTTGATACTAAATGCCGTGTCAGGGCATAAAAGTAATACAGAATTGGAAACAATTCGAATATTATTACCTGCTGAAGCTTTAGAAATACCCCACATTTATCAATAACAGGCAGAAAACTAAGAACACTAGACTTTGAGGAACAATCAGTTCTGTTCAGAGAAGCTTGGCTCCAGTGATAGTCACCATCAACCAGGAAAGCCGATACATCACTCAAAACAAGATCAAATTGGAAGTACATACCCATCTCTTCAGGTGAAGCATATTCAGCATCATCCTGCACATATTATTCAGAATGTGAATACGACTGAAAATGAATTAGGCAAAATCACTTTCCAAAGCTTAGGAAACTAACCTTTGTACGAATCACTAACTTTCCCAAGTCAAGTAGAAGCTTAGTAGGGTGAATACTATCTGGACAAAATTCAGTGGGTATAGTAATTTTGGGCGCTGCAATATCCAAATCCAAAAGGAACCTAGAAGCAAATGGAAGTCAACTGTAATTATTCTATGTAGACAAGTGGAATGACATTATAAATATTTAGCAATACTGTATATATATTTCCAGACAAGATACCAAAAAAATACTAATTTATGACATATACTTCAACCATTTTCACATAATTGGATTAGCATTGAAAATTAATGCATGAACAACAATACCATTTCAGAGTCGGAAAGGTCAATGTGATAATTCATGACAACATTTTTTTTTTTTTTTTATAGGTAATCAGAGAATTTTATTCCTTAAAAGAGAGTACACGGGAGGTACACAATCACTTTAAGTATGAAAGGAACAACATGAAATTAGGCAACCCCACAACACGATTTTTAGCCACTGCATTAAACCAAGTATACAAAGTCAAGTAAGATAATTCTCTTATCTGCTCTGTTGTCTTTGTTTGGCCTTCGAAATATCTATCGTTCCGTTCTCTCCATATGCACCATATAATGCATCTCGGGATAAGATTCCATAGAAGTTTGCTATCCTTATCGCGAAATTTTCTCCTCCATGCCCGCACCACGTATTCTATACGCCTAGGTAACACCCAATTCATTGATTGAGAAGCCAGAATAATGTTTCAAAGCCAACGTACACCATCACAATGAATGAATAAATGATCAATCGTCTCTCCATCCTTCTTGCACATATAGCACCACTCGATTACATAAAATCCTTTTCGTAGAATATTTTCTACCGTTGACACCTACCCCCGAATAACTGTCCACAATAGAAATGCTATCCGTGGAGGCAATTTGCTTTGCCACACCATCTTCCAAGGTAATGAACTCTCCACAAATCCCAAAAGGGATTGAAAGTATGAGCGGACTGAAAAAATACCATCTCGAGCCAACCTCCACCTACTACAATCACCATCTCATACCCGAATTTGTATCTCATGCAGAGCGGTTAAAAACAACGAATAATCTTCCAATTCCCAATCCTGTAAACCCCTCCCAAAAGTAATATTCCAACTATAGCCCCTATTGTGAATGTCTAATACATCACCCACCATAGCAGCAATCTCTAACGCAATGCGGTACAAAGAAGGAAATCCCTCCTTTAACGGTTGATCGCCACACCGTCATCCCAAAATTTAATATCAGTGTCATTTCTCACCACAAAATTTAGTTTGTCCCTAAAATCATTCCATCCCCGTCAGATATACCTCCACAAGCTCACCCATAGGAGCCACGACCCTAAACCGTACACCAACCCCCCTCCATCACACCATACTTTGCCCCAATGATTTCTCTCCAAAAGCTCTCATTCTCCACTCCAAATCGCCACAACCACTTGCCCAATAAAGCCTTATTAAACAAAACAAGGCTCCTCACTTTAAGTCCCCCCATCCTCATAGGCAAACAAATAGTACCCCAATTAACCAAATGTATTTTCCTCTCCTCCCCTAACCCTACCCACAAGAATTCTCTTTGAAGTCTCTCAAATCTATTTGCCACTGCAATCGAAATAGGAAACAATGACAAAAAGTAAGTGGGGAGATTTGAGAGAGTGGATTTAATAAGAGTAAGTCGGCCTCCCTTAGAAAGATACATACGCTTCCACCTTGCTAACCTCCTCTCTATTCTTTCCATAATACCATTCCAAATATGTGTACTTT